TTTACGTCGATTGGAATTACGGAAAACCGTATTCAACCCGGATCGATACTACCGTTAGATTAGGAGGGTTATAATAATAATTACGGGAAAGATAGAAGTTATACGCTATCGAAGAATAAAACTAGAATCTCGGACCTAGACATTCCTAAAGAGTATAGTAAGTAGAAACGACTCTTTAAAGAGGAGAGAGGCAAGGCAGCCTTACCTAAACACTGACTATAGGATTATAAGATACACTTATAGCCTAGGAAAGAGCCTCTATAGGGACCCTTATACGCAATGTCTAAGAAAGAGCTTAAAACCCTAGACAAGTAGCTAAAAGAGAAATTAGAAAAAGGCTAGATACGGAAGTCGACATCCTCGGTAGCCTTACTAGTAATATTCGTTCCGAAAGCCGGATTAGACGAAGGACGGCTAGTAGTCGATTTTAGACGACTTAACGATATTATAATTAAGAATCGGTACCTACTACCGAACATCGAAGAAATGCAAGACCGATTAACTAGATTAGACTAGTATACGAAGATTAACCTACGCGATGCGTTTTACGCAATACGTATAGCAGCTAGATACGAATAGATAATAGCATTCCGAACAAGATATAGGCTTTACGAATTCTTAGTTATACCTATAGGACTTACAAATGCCCTAGCGTTATATTAAGACCTTATAAACGAAGTCCTCCGAGACCTTCTAGACGTATACGTTATCGCATATATAGACGATATCTTAGTCTATACTAAGGGAGCTCTCGCGGACTATATACGAATAGTATAGGACGTCTTTAAACGATTTACTTAAGTAGGATTTAAGACTGTACCTAAGAAATGCGAATTCTATAAGAAGGAAGTCAAATTCCTAGGATTTATTATTAGTACTATAGGAATCAGGATCGATCTAGAAAAAACTAAGTCAATACAGGAATAGCTAACGCCTATATACGTTAAAGACGTACAATCATTCCTAGGATTAGCTAACTATAATAGAAAATTCATCGAGGGCTACTCTAAGATAGCGGCACCCCTTACGGAGCTTATAAAGAAAGACAAGAAATAGAACTAGAGTACGAAGGAAGACGAAGCGTTTAGGTAGCTAAAGAAGCAATGCGTTTCTACGCTAACGCTACGATTATTCGATAGGAGTAAGGCAGTCTAGATAGAAACAGACGCGTCGGATAGGGCTATAGGAGTATGCCTTATATAGGAGCATAACGGGAAACGACACCCGGTAGCCTATTACTCGAGAAAGATATTACCCGCGGAACAGAACTACGATATCTATAATAAGGAGCTACTTATAATAGTTGCATTACTACAATACTAGCGAGTATACGCGGAAGGAGCACTAAGTCTTACGATTCTTTCTAATTATAAGAATCTAACTTACTTTACTACGACTAAAGTACTAACCCGAAGATAGGCCCGCTAGTCGGAGCTACTAGGATAGTATAAGTTCGAAATCCGCTATACCCTAGGACGCGAGAACGGACGAGCCGACGCACTAAGCCGCCGTAGCGACTATATAGAGGGTTACGAACTAGTGCAGCAGCAGATATTAAAAGCAAACTAAGATAGAAGCCTTAGTGCTAACACAAAAGAATTCAACTATATTATACGAGTTCTTTAGGATATAGAAGAACAGTTTCCTATCGAATATAGGAAATACTAAGTACCTAAGGAACGAG